GTGAAGACTGTGGAGATTTTGGGGGGCAGCGACCATATCCATTTATTTATCTCCAGCTATTATAGAGCCTGGACTATAGTAGGGACTGAAATGTTTTTGTTCAAGGAATTCATAAAGGAATGAATATCCTGAAACCAGAAACAGGCCAGGCACGGTGGCTCACACCTGTAATCCCAGACTTGGGAGGCCCAGGCGGGTGGACTGCCTGATTTCAAGAGTTTGAGACCAGGTCAGAGCGAGACTCCATCTCTAAAAAATAGCCGAACATTATGGCAGGCGCCTGTAGTTCCTGCTACTTGGGAGGCTGAGGCAAGAGAATTGCTTAAGCCCAAGAGTTTGAGGTTGCACTGAGCTGTGACATCTCAAAAACAAACAAAAAAACAGAAACTGAGACTGAAAAACAGATAGGAGGGGTGTAAAATCAACCAGCAATTGTGGCTTAGAAGATTAATTTTTCTGGGACTCAGTACAATGAACAGCACTAGTTCTAAAACAGGTTGCTGTTAGCGCCTTTTCAGGAGTTAAAAAGGGCTCAGCGCCCTTAGCTCAGTAGTTAGGGCGTCAGCCACGGTTGGAACTCAGCCTGGGCCTGCTATACAACAATAACAACTACAACAAAAAAATGGCCTCGCGCTGTGACGGGCGCCTGTAGTCCCCAGCTACCTGGGCAGCTAAAGCGAGAGAATCGCTTAAGCCCAAGAGTTGCTGTGAGCTGTGACGCCACAGCATTCTACTATGGGCAACAAAGTAAGACTCTGACTTTTTTAAAAAAAAAAGGAGTTAAAAAGCAAGAACTTCGGCTGGGCGCCTGTGGCTCAAGTGGGTAAGGCGCCAGCCACATACACCTAAGGTGGCAGGTTCGAATCCAGCCTGGGCCCGCCAAACAATGACGGCTGCAACCAAAAATAGCCGGACGTTGAGGCGGGCGCCTGTGGTCCCATCTACTTGGGAGGCGGGGGCAGGAGACTCGCTTGAGCCCAAGAGTTGGAGGTTGCTGTGAGCTGTGATGCCACGACACTCTAGCCAGGGGAACAGCTTGAGGCTCTGTCTCAAAAAAAAAAAATAATAATAAAGCAAGAACTTCACGGGGACAGAGCGGCGGGGCGGTTGGAGAGGGCGATTGGCCGAAACTCAAGGCGGGGCCAGTAGGTAGGCACGGCACATTTCCTACCCTAACGACGTGACTAAGGTATGGCTAACGTCACATCCGGTCTGGGCGTCCGGAGCGGGAAACAAAAGGAGACCAAGGACGCATGCGTCTAGTGAGTCCCGGATTCTGGTGGGTCCTTCCGCTCGATCTGAGTGAAGCGCTTCCGGGTCGCCGCCGGCTGCCGGCTACCGGCGCGGTAAGTACAGAAGCAAGGGTGCGGCGAGCTCCTTGCCACTTCTTTCCCCAGATAAACCAGTTCCTTTGACTCACCTCCTCAGGAGCTCCATGTTCAGAATCCTTTACCCTTAAAGAGTTCCAGCTCATTGGCTGCTTCCTCGAGCCTAAGCCCCGCCCCATCACACGAGATCCGTCATTCATTGGTGTCACTTCCTGTCACCCAGGATTTCTTTAAGCTAATTGGCCCTGCCCTTGCCGCGCTCTTTTCACGATTAGCAACCCTATAAGGAAAAATTTCTGTCCAAGTCCCGCCCCTGACTTTTTCCTGTTGGTCAAGCGCACGGTCATTATCCTAACGAGAAAGAATGGGCGGTGGTGGGTTGGGCTTTCGGTACTGAGATCTCTGCCCTGTCGGTATTTCTGGGATGTGAGCTTGAATGCTCTTGAACCTGTTATACCAGCTGGGAAGCTGACGCTCTGGGAATGGCAGCGATTGGCTCTGTGTCGGTCAAATAAGTTAGGACAAAAGCGGGACCACACACATCCTTTCCATCTGCTCATCAATTCTAGTGACTGGCCTGCATCCCTTTCGCGCGGGAGTTCTAAGCCCAGAATTAACTGTGTGACCTAACGTTAGTCTCTGCCTATTGCAGGGCCTTAAGCTGTGGGTTTTAATTCATATTCTCTGGGCCATTCCCGGTCAGCTCCCTCAGCCGATCAAACAAAGCTGATTTTACTTGTTCTCTCACGTATTCATCCATTTAGTTTCCATCTACTTATTTATCTATTTTACTCGTGTCTTCCAGAATGTCTTGCTGAGCCCTGCTTGCACATGGTACACGCTCCCACACCCAAATTTAGCTGTGATCCATGAGAGGGGTGTTTAGTCTTGTAAATTTCTGACACTGGGTGGGCACAGTATGGACCATCATCAAGGGGCAAAAAGCAGGTTTTCGAGGAGGAAGAGAGAATTTCAGTAGAGCCTTGCTATCTCTAATTTTGTATAATTTCATAATGCTAGTCTGCATTCTGAATTCCTATTGTGCACTTGGCTCCCATCCTCTTCCCTCCTTGAACAGCCTACAAACAGCTTGTCCATTAATTTACTTAATTGTCAGAATAACTTTGAGGGTAGTATAATTGTTATTATCCCCATTTTACAGATGAGGAAACTGAGGCCCAAAGAGGTTAAGTGACTTGGCCAAGGTCAAACAGCTAGTAAGTGGTGGACCCAGACTCAAATCCAGGTCTGTCTGATTCCTGAAGGGAAGGGCTGCTTTTCTGATACCGTCCACTCTACCCCATCCCTAAATAAAATTACAACCAAATAAAAACCAAACCCAAACACATTCATTTGACCCTTTCCCTCAGTTTAGGAGCCATGTCCACCTTGTTCCCCTCACTCTTCCCCCGTGTGACTGAGACACTGTGGTTTAATCTGGATCGACCCTGTGTGGAGGAGACAGAGCTGCAGCAGCAGGAACAGCAGCATCAGGCGTGGGTGAGTAAGGACCTAGTACAGCACAATCAAGAGACTGCCCTGTCATGACCAAACCTTATTCTGAAGACCTGCTCTGGAAGAGCTTTTTGCCCTGAGCCAGGAATTATCAAGCTGGGAGCTAGGGGGCCAAAGTTCTCTAATTTGCTGGGCTACTTCTGGGCCAGAAGTAGAGCCCAGTCTCCTGACACACCCCAAGCTTTTTTCCCTAAATCTTAGGAAAGAATAATTTTAACTGTTCATTGAGGACCTAGGCAATTCCATGTTCTAGCCTGATAAGTCTCTCACTTTACCCTCACTATAATTATATTAGGAAACCAAGTCCTAGAGAGCTTAAGTAGTTAAATCAAGTTCATATATAAGTAGCAGATGACATAAAGACAGGGGATCTTCCTGAGAACTGGGAGTAAGCTCCCCCACACTTGGGGGGGGTCATCTTAGGAGCACAGTGGGCCAGTCCCATGCCCCTGACCAGCCCTGCTTGGGCCCTGGCTCTGCTCCTTCCCCTCTGTGCCAACAGCTTCAAAGCATTGCAGAGAAAGACAACAACCTGGTTCCTATTGGCAAGCCAGCTTCAGAGGTAGGTGGCTTCAGCAGGTGGGGTCTGTGTGGAGCCTGTGGTGGACCAAGGTTCTGCTCTAATTCTGAATTTCCTGCCTCTGATCCAGAGAGCAGTTATGACTCTTAGCTCTAGGGTGGAGGCCAAAAAGGGGAGCAAAAAGGGGATGGCACCAAAGTCCTACAGAAAATGCACCAGCCTGCTAGACTTAAGGGGGAAAGGGTTGGGGAGTGGGGGATCATTTATTGACCCCAGAAAGAGGTTCCAAGTGAGCCAGGTCTTGAACTGGTCCAGGCAGGCCTGTAAGACTTACAGGCTCTCCTCTGCCCCATCAGCACTATGATGATGAAGAAGAAGAGGATGATGAAGACGACGAGGATAGTGAAGAGGACTCAGAAGATGATGAGGACATGCAGGACATGGATGAGATGAATGACTACAACGAGTCACCTGATGATGGAGAGGTCAATGAGGTAGGTGGGAGTGTGGGTGGGGGGGCCTGTTCCTGGGCCCCTGCCCCTGACCTAATTGATGGCCAAGGGGGACAGAAACCCTGGATACAGCCAGGGGCAGAATCTGGGGCTGAGGTTGGCTGAGGCCCCTCCCCACCCACACCCAGCCTCCTCTCCAGGTGGACATGGAAGGCAACGAACAGGATCAGGACCAGTGGATGATCTAGGTAGACAAAGCAGGGTGGCCTTAGGGAGATTCCAGGCCAGCCCAACCTATCCTGCACGCCCTACCCCTGCCCACAGAACCAGCTGATGGCCCCAGTGCCTGAAAGTGCTCTTGGGTACCTCCTCAACTGCTGCCATGGTCTCCTTGGCTCCTCCCAGGCCATCAGCTTGCCCTTGAGTCCCCAAGGCCTGAGCCCACTCCGCCTTCTTGGCGAGTACCTCATTCCTTGGTTGCCAGGTCTGGTTTGCTTTCTAACTCTTTAATAAAGACACAGGAGTGATTTTTCCCTACATGTCTATTTTCTATTTGTTGGGGGCCCAGAGGATTCCAGTATCTTGTGCTTTGGAGAGAGGACAGTTGAAACATCAGGCAAACCTACCTAATTTGTCAGATGGGCCAGCTTGGGGAAGGCCAGACGGTCCCTGGTCCTGGACCCAGCCTTCTGTGCCATTTGCTCTTGCTCAGCTTGCATCCACCTATTTCTGCAGAGTCTCTAACTCATTGTCAGCTGCTTCCTCTGATCCCACCCAGAATAGAATGGACTGAGAAGGGGAGGCTTTCAGAGGCTCAGAGCTGAGAGGACCCTCAAGCTCTCCCAGCCGGCTTCCTTAGAATTAAGAGAATGTATTAAATCTCAGAGCAGCAGGGACTCCCCTGGAGTCACCCAGCAAATCAGTGACATAGTTGGGTCAGAAGCTCAGGCCTCCTGTCAGTCTTTGGCTCTCTCTGGAAGGAAATAAACCAGTGAAACCAAGCAGCCTGATAAATTTGATGCTTCAGGTCAGTGTGGAGGCCAGAAGGGGGCAGAGGTGGGAAGAGACCTCTTCAGTCATAAGCCCAGCATGTGTCAGGCCCCAAACTGGGAGGGGAGGGGATGTTCTGAAGGCCTTGCTTGGGTGGGGGTGGGGGCCATCAATAAGTCCCCCTAGACCTGGACCTCAACCAGGTCCAGCATAAGTGAGCTGGGCTATGCCATCCTTAATGGCAGGGAAGTCTGGGAGGCCAGTGTGGTGGAGGCGGCAGCGGTACCGGCCACAGTTCTTGACATACTGCAAGAAGCGGGGTGCACCAGGAAAGAGTACATGGTCAGCTAACACAGTGGCACCAGCTGGCAGTAGGGCATGGGCCTCCAGCAGCTGTAGGTCACGTAGGTAACATCGGGGCTGATGTGCCAGGAGTACCAAGTCTGCCCGACTCAGTTGGTGCTGGGTGCGTAGGCGCCGGATCACCTCCTCTGAGCTGCCCACGATGAGCTCCACCTGTGGGGGTAAGGATGGCATGAAAGTGAGGGTGGGAGGGATTGTTCTCTCACTCCACACCCCACCAATATCTGGCTTACTTCATACCAGGCCCAGGCCTAGATTCCCACAAGTGTTCTCACATTTCCTCTGACCTCAGAACCTAAGAGGTCAGGATCAGTATTGTGATTTCCATTCTGCTTTTGAAGAACGGAGATTCGGAGGATTTGTGCTTTGTCCAATGTCACACAGAGAACGAGGCAAAGATTTGGACCCAGATTTGCTGGCCTCCAGAGACCTTCCTTTTAGCTTCTTTTGTCCTCTAGCAGAAAATATGTACACATGACTTAGGACAGGAGGGCAGGGATCACAGTCCCTTAAGTGGAACTAATTTCTTCTCCTTAGATGGGAATCCCTTCTCTCACAAGGGAGAGTTGGCTAGGACAAGGCTTGGGTGACAGAGAAGAGATCAGAGTTGGGGAAATAGGAAGGCTGACCGTGTTTTCATCGAAGCCAGCCAGACGGATGAGTTTTTCAGCCACTGCTGCTGTTCGAGGGTCCCGCTCCACAGTGAGAAGGCGACCCCCAGGGGGCAGGGCACGGGCAATCAGCAGGGTGGAGTATCCACAATAGGTGCCCAGCTCTAGCACACAAGCAGGGGCCTTCTCCTCCACCAGCCGCAGTAGGATCTGACCTATGAAGGAAGATGGATACAGAGCCCCTGACAGAGATTTCAAATGCTCACCTGCCTCACTGCAGCTTCCAATCAGCTGCTGTCTCATTGGACCACAGCCCCAGCTGTCCCACAGGTGCCCTTGCCTCCAGCCTAGTCTTCATACCAGCCACTAGGAATCTTTCTTAAAAAATCCAACTGTATTATTCCCTGGCTTTGGGATTGAATTTGGGATCCTTTGCCTTGCATTCAGAACCTTGGACCTAATCCTAGCTCACCTTTCCAGCTTCAGCTCTCAATTCTTCCTGTCTGTGGCTTGTATCACAGCCATCCCAAACAACTGTGGCCAGAATCAACCATGTTGTGTCATTCCTTTATGCTAAATTTGTATGTGTGGCTTGCCTTGCTCTTCCCTGCCCCCATCTCCATCTTCCTGGCCAACTCAAAACCAATCTTTCTAGGCTCAGCTCAAGTGTTGCTTTCTCTAGGAGGGCCCAGGCAAAAACTACTCCATCTTCTAGGCTCCTGAGAGGCCTCTGTTAGAACTTCCAGTTTCATTCCCTCCCCACTTTTATTGCTCATTGAATATATTTCTTTTTTTGATGTCATCATAGTTCACTGCAACCTCAAACTCTTGGGCTCAAGCAATCCTCCTGCCTCAGCCTTTCAAGTAGCTAGGGCTACGGGCACCCACCACCATGCCAACTAACTTTTCTATTTTTAGTAGAGATAGGGTCTCACTCTTGCTCAGGTGGTCTCAAACTGGTTTCAAATTACTGAGAGCTCAAGTGATCCTCCCACTTTGGCCTCTCAATGTGCTCGGATTACATATGTGAGCCACTGCACGTGGCCCATTGAATATTTTTCCAATCTTAAAATTAGACACATTTCTTTTTTTCTTTTTTTTTTT